GAAAACACTCGAACTCGCAGACTAAATTTCCCGAAAATTTTCGCTTAATTCGCTATGACGCTGGCGATCGTCCAATCGACTCTTTCGTTTCGTTTTCTTTGGTTACTATCTTAATAAAGATGTGATTCGATCATGTCAATATCAATATCAATAACCATTGAAATATATTCCTCGCAAAATGATAATAATGATAATTAACACGTAAATATATTTATTAAGTTTTATGTGATATTTGAATGCTCAAATATATATAATTCTGCAATACGATGTCGTAATCATCTAATTGGAGTATTCATTACGCGAAAATGTTGAATTCAAACGCGATATGATAGTGAGTAATAAACAATAATAATGAATTTAATGAGACAATTTTACAAGCACCGAGGCTCTCGTGCTTGTCGTATCGAGGCTGTCGTGTGTCTGCAAGGAAAGTGCATGCTTCTCTAATGTTTCACATGTGAATAGATTGTTGCATAAATGGTAAAATGTCAATTCTAAACCAAGCCAAGGTTCGAATCAGCGGAAAAAAAATCGCAAGAGATGATCATCGATCGATCGGTGGGACGCGCTGACGCAAAAGACGCGTTGTCGCAACTTGAAAAGGAAGAATGCAGTGATAACCCCTTCACCGATACAACGGAGACTCGGAAAAGCGGATTCGTGCGAGCCGCGGCTTTCGAGAATGGAAGATTAACGATCGTCTATTGAAGGAGCGCAAGTCGATGTTCCACTCTCGTTCGACAATGTTATTCTTAGGCAAAGCAGCTGCAAAATTAATGAAGGCGCCACCGAGAGGGAAGGAGGGAGGGGAGAGGAGGGGGCGCGTGAAGTAATCTCGCTCCTGCCGGCGCGAGTTACATAGGCGCGCGTCGTACAAAAGGATATTTCGCGCTTCTCAGGCGGAAACGTCACCTAGGAGTAGCAGTTTTACCAGTGATGGATGAGAGTGTTCTCCCTGTGCTGGAGACGAAAAAGTTACCGTTCAAACGAAGAGAAAGAGCGAGAGAGAGAGAAAGGCTTTCCATGATATCGCATCGGGGACGTTTGACTTTCACGCCGAGTTAGCGAATTGACACTCGCTGCGACGCTGCGTCCGGAAAGTCGAAGTGAATGCAAGTCGCGACGCGATGTTTTTCATGTTAGATAAAATGAATTTATTAACATAATTATTAAATCAAGTTGGTTCAGAGTGGAGGACATTAATATTGATTGCAATAAATACGATAATATAATCTTCTTGTTCGTTCTACGTGTGCTCGATATAATTATAGTCTTTAATTGTCTTTAATTATAGAGCTGTATCTAAATGGCATCGCGATTAAATCTGCCATATCGTGATCGGCATGAATCTTTAATATCAGAGAAATAAGGCTCAAAAATCCCGATATTCATCGACGACCACCGTGTGTTTTCGATAATACGCTCGGTTAAGATCGGTACACCCGAAAGGTATGCCGGGAATTGTTTTCATGTACTTTGGAGTGTGGATCGATCGATTCGGTTGCAGGCACGAGCCTGACGTAGTCAGGTAACATCGATGCAGTTCGCATATTACGTGACTGCCACTGATTCCGACGACCCATGTATTTGCCTATCATGGGGCGACGGTATTTGCGCGCTGAGATTTTCCAATTAAACTGTGATTAATTTCGTGACGGACGGTCAGAACGTGCGCGACCGATTGTTTACAGCGGAAACGAAAGAAGTCGAGGGAGGATGAGGAAGGCGGGAAAGGGGGAGAGGAACAGAGACAGAGACACACAATAACGCGAATATCTAAGCGAAAGAGAAAATCGTAGAGAAGACCGATGAACGGAAAATCGACGTTAATCTGATTTCGGTAGCCGAGCAGAGCGGACAATTTGCTCGGCTCCGAAAAAGCGCGTATACGCCGCGAGAAGATATATGTATATCGCGGACCCTCGATCGTTTATTCGATAAGCGACGTGTTATCCCGTTAATACTTTAACAACGCTCACAGAGTCTGGCGAAACGGAATTTACGGTACATCAAGCTTTTTTTTTCGCTCGACAGGAGCAACGCTGGCAAGAGATCGTGAATGCGCGGTGGGAACGAATGGACGCGCGAGTACACGCGCGAGTACCGCGCGACGATTGATAGATGTGTACCAGCTGTGCAAATAAATTTGCGTATCCGCTCGCAAAAGCGTCGAACGCGCGCTTCACGTCGTACGCCTGCGATTCATTCTCGCCTATAAGTGCCGTTTTGTTTGGAAATTTTACAGAGAGGAAGAAATGCCGCTTTCGCGGAATGCTTTTCGCTTGTGATCGTCGTATAGTGGAGTCACACTTGCGTGGATTAAACGAGTATTTGTATTTTTAAAATAATATTTCGTGTAATTTCTTTGTCAAAAAAAAAACAATAACATTATTGATTCTGTCGCGCGCATATCTGTATAACTTTTTTAGATTACACTACACTACACGTGTAATCTAAACTTTGATAACAGAAGCTCTCGCGATCCGCGCGACGTTAAAAACCAGCTTTCCGTCGTCCCCTCCCCCCCTCCCCGCGATCTTTAACGTAACTCGCCATAATGACCGTGTTCGCGTAAAGTGAACGCACGCGGAGGAGCCATGAGTCACGCGGCTCATTAGCTCCAGATTGTTGTCCTCAACGGATTAAGCCTTGAAGGAATTAATCGTCTTGTTCCCACGTGCGCGAGCGAGTGTGCAACACTCTAATGGAATTAAACCGATCGACGGGTCACACGCGCATGTCTTTTGCCATCTCATAATCCGAGAGGGAAGGCGAATTTAAATGAGGATTGAGGGAGGAAAGGGATTTATTTATCCCCTCTTGTCACATTATTCCCTCGCGCAAATCAGTTATTCGATAATGTATCTACCTAAAATATCCATGTGACGTAAAAGAAATTTCCGATACCAACGAGGCGGAAATACGGTAGCGGTTGCCCGTATTTAGCTGATAAATTCTTTCTGCTGATAAAGTGGTGTCACGTTCCGCAGAGTTCTTTCGTTTCCAGAGAACGTAATGGTCACGAGTTAATTTAATGGATAAAACTTATTTAACATCATATTCGATTTTTGTATCGTAAGATGAATGTAGGACAGAGGTTTTATTATACATTTGGATTAAATATATTGCAAAAATATGTCGTATAATTGAGATCATAGCCCGTTACAAAAGTTACGACTTAAAATTACATGCGAAAAATAAAATCCAGGCATTCTACACTTTACCTCGAGCAGTTTATCCATCTCGACTTTATTGCATCAGCCGCGTTATGAACTCAAGATCAAATCACTTTGAGAATAAAGAAATGAGGATGGCAATCTTGAATCGTATTTATTAAATTTGAAACTTATGAAATTTTTGAATATTTTGAAAAATATCTTAATTATTCTACACGGAAAAAATATTGTTGCTGGCAAATCTAAAAATTTGGTTAGATACAGATCTGAAAACGATTTTGTTGGAGCTTCAAAATTATTATATATGATGTTCAAATTGATTGTTAGAAGATCAAACATTTTTGCAATATTATCATTATATTTAAATATTCTACTGGATGGGCCAACAAAATTATTTTCAGATCTGTATCTGATCAAATTTTTAGATTTGCCAGCAAAAGTGTTCCTTCCGTGTAGGAACGCAGTTTTTTATTATTCGATATTTTATGTTATTATTTCAATTTAATCTTTATTTTATAGACAGTTTTATTTTTAGGAAATCTGAATTAATTTCTGATATTCAAATACGTTCGAAGCGTTTACGACTACTACAAATTTCGGAATATCTAAGAATTGCCGGTTTTAAGTAATATACGAAGCAACTTGAATTTTCACGCAACTGGATCGTTTTGGGAATATTCGTAGGAAGAATTCGAATGGAATTACTATGTACTTTTCGCGAAGATGTACTTTACGCGATATGATATCAAGGCCGCGACTGTCGCTACCTGTTCTTGCGCTACATAATTGCGGCCGCGGAACGGAGTAAAATCAAGCAGCGACGCGACGGCGTGGTGTATTACGTATATCGCAGATATATATATACCCAAACATACGTCGTCGGCGTGGCACGGAACTCGAACCGCGCTCGGTCGTCACGTAACAGCACGCGACCGCGTGCATGCGCGCGATCGGCGTCACGGCGTGCCGTGCGCGTGAAACCGCGGCCGCTTACGCACCCGCGTCGCATGTGACAGCCAGTTCGTCATGTCGCGAGCGATGGCTCGACCGAGTGGCTCGAATCCGAAATTAATTTAAACATATAAATAGTCACCTGGCTGTTTTTAGGAACCACGAAACAGTTTTGTATGTTTTGCACGCATACTGATCTCCGAAAAGGCTAAGGACGCGGAACAACAATTAATAAACGAATTTTTTGCGAAATCGGGATAGTCAATTTTTCAAGCGCCCCAAGAATATGCTTCCCGGTGAATCGGAGTTTTGCAATGAGAAGCGAGAAGCCTACGGGCAAGAAATCTCACTCGGTCAGCTTTCTGCGCAATCAATTCGATCCGCGGTCATAATTTTACATAAGTTTGTAGTTTGGCCGCGAGCTTATCAATGCTCATGGGCGACAAGCGGGAGATAAGCGTGTGAGGTATCGCGTGGCGTGAGTATCACTCCCGAACGCCTGTTTTGTCGCGAGCGAATCAACTTCTGCGAATCGGAAAATTACAAAAGAAAAAAAAAAGAATCACGAGAATTGCAGAAAATGCGCAAGAAAGTGCTCTTTGCCTCGGAATCCATTAGCATGCGAACTCATCGTAAACTGGCGAAGCGTCAATATGTTTCGCGCGAGATCGCAGCACCGTTGATCCGATCTTTGCTCCGTTTCGTTCGTATTCTTTCCAATGGTGCGTAAAAAAAGCGTGATTACGTAACGCGAGATACGCATCGCGTGTATGTGTCATTCGTGAGAGACGTGACGTCTCTCGTCGCACTCGCGCGCGTTTCTCGAGCTCGTGCCTCCGATCGCGCGCTCTGGAATTTCTCCAGGATACTCACGTGTTTCTCGATACACGTCGCACGCACCCTTCGCAATCCCGCACGTCGACGTCGTACGGTGTTCCTTGCAATTCCTCGCCGCACCTGTCACGATGATTTATCCACACTGCGAAAATTCCTCGGGAACTTGCCTCTTTTTCACATTCTCTCAAACACTCGCGTTGGGACGAGGGGCGGACAGATCGATCGACGATGTGTCGTAGAGATTATTTCCAACTCGAGTAATTACACTCGCGTCACGGGGCGTGATGAGCTGGGTCGTACGTACAAAAGTAAAAAAAAGGGAAAAGGGGCGGAAAAAAGGTAAAATGAAGGAAAGAGGAAAAATGCTGATGCGAGATGCTGAGTGTGGGTACGGAAACGACGGCGCGCGCGGGACTGCTCTTCTTCTCCTCTTCTCCTATCACTCCACCCGATTAACCGCTCTTCGGCCTTCGGCGAGCGTGGCAATTCAACGACGAGGTCGCGGCGGCTCCGCGCAAAGCACTGAAAAGGGAACTCGTCGTGTGCGCGCACGCGTACACGTAACGTACACTCACACAATACACACACCCCGGGTGTCTCCCTCCTTCCCTCGGTACCTGGCGCGCAGTGTCCGTGATTACGTGGGTGTCTCTCTCTCTCTCTCTCTCTCTCTCTCTCCGTGTCCACCGTGCGCGAGAGGTAGAGAGAGAAAGAGCGTTTTATCGCCCCTTCTTGTCCGCCAAGCGATCCGTACCGCGTTACCGATGCGCCCGAAACGACACCCGCGAATGCCACTGCGAGACTGGAACGTGGGGTAACATGTACGGGCTCTTACATAGCGCGCGGCAGTGGTGGCACAGAGGAGAGGGTAGCGGGACCACCGTAGTAGGGATGGACCCCCACTCCGGCCAAGAGAACTTTGGAGAGGGAACTGGCAAGGACGCGCGCGGTTCCGTCGATGTGTCGACTGTCGGCCGCTCGCGCTCTCGGCGAGCGCACTTGACTCGTTGCCGCTTTGGCGTACACTTGGTGTACACTTGGTGAACCGATCGACGTTTCGCACACTGCATTTGTTTCTCTTTTTCTCTCTATCTCTCTTTCGCTTCGCTTCATATTACATGTATATTTCTTGTTGCATATTTCTCGGATTTCTTTTCCAAGTAAAACGACTTTATTTTTTTCTTTCCATTTGGTATCACTCTTCCCTTTTCTTTATATTTCGTTTTAGAACATGTTTTCTTAACCGGGCGCGCCGCGGCACGCCGGGAGTGCCGTGAAATTTCGTTTTTCTGAAAAATCATTGTTAATGCAGTTCTTTTTTTCTATTATCGACCTTTTTGTATTCCTCATTTAGCATCTCAACCATAAGACAGTGCAACTGCCGCATTTTTTTCTATTAAGTGGTTAGCCTTTTATCCACTTCCACCAAAATCAGTAAGACACGTTTTGCGGCACGGAGTGCCGCGCGCGCCTCGGAACGTAAGTAAAATCTTGCTCATATAAATAATTATAATAATGCAAGATGTTGAATCATTCCTCACATCAATTGATTTTTAACTTAATGCTTAATATCTTTTTAGGTTAGAGTTGGTTATGTTTTAAAAAGCTCAACATGAATTTTGAAACAATTTTAGAGACATTCTGAATCCAAATTCTGTTCTAAATTTCCTATCATAAGTTTCAAAAATATCCTAAATCGAGAGGTATTCTGTAAATACTCAGAGAGATGGGAGAAGATAACATACAAGAAGAAATAGTTGATTTTATTTTATTTTTTCTTATTTTAGTTGATTTTAATAGTTTATTTTATATCATTATCTTATAAGAACATTATTATTATTTTTCTATGTTTGATTTTAAATTGATGTCTTTATTTTTAAAACAATTATCTTATTTTTAATTTTCTACTTACATCTAACTAAACTTTTATTTTTATAAGAAAGTAGACACAACATTTTAATATTATAGTTAAGTTTTAACATTATATTTGATTATAAGTGTATTTCCTTTTTTTCATGTCGATTATCTAATTATTTATCCAATTATTATAAATAATTATTATAAATAATAAATAATAAATTTGATGCAGTGCCGCGCGCGGTCAGTAACGTTCGGTCGGGAGGCATGCCCGATTAAGGATTAACTTTAATACAATATTAAAAAATTTTTTAATGTATTTTATACAAATATAGTATTTTATAGAGAAATTATGAGCTTCGCATGTTACAAACATTTTCATACATTTGTAAAAGTATATGGAGGAAGAAATGCTGGAGATTCATTAATAAATTTGTACTCATAGAATGGTTAAGTTTTGAAGATTCTCTCTCTCTCTC